CTCTCCAGCTTGCAGCGAATCTGCAGAGCAGGCACCTGTATTTACACAGCAAGGTCAGCACACCCACAATATCTTTCTGTTGTCTGGCTTCGCTTAGACTAACATCTGCAATCAGGCTTAGCGACTAAAGGCGGTTATCAGCTGGATAAGTCGTCACTACATCAGAAACGTAGACTGGTCTATTAGCAGCTGATTTTTAACTATAATTAATTCTGTGATTTAAGACTGTTTATTGTCATTACACTAATGAAATAAATGTAATGCATGGTGCTAAAAAACATGTATTAAAGTAGAAAGTTTCAGAACATGTAGATTACAAATGTATACGCACACACCCAGTAAGACTGGAGCACAGTTGGACTGAACTTGAATTTCTTATCATGAATATCTGCATTTTACTACAAATCAAGTGGAAAGTCTCACCATTGCATTCTTTATGATTTGGTTTGTTGGCCATCATTGAATCACAGACAACAGCATTCATATGTATTTTTATATAAAGCGATACTCCCAGTTAGGGCTGGGCTATATTCTACCGTTTACGGTAATACCGGTATAATGTTAGGCAATGATAAGAAAATGAAATATCGCGATAGAATATGGGTAAAGCACGCAGTGCCTTTGTTTTCATACGGACATGGCGGAAAAAGCATGATGGTAATGGAGAATTTGAAGAGCGAAAGCGGATCGTTGAATGAAACAGATGAACCAGAATTGGTTTGTAAAAATGCTGCAACTTCAGTGATGTGGACGAAACCAACTGGTTTGGTTTTCGTCCATCAGATACACCAAAGCACAATATTTTTTTTGGTAGAACATGCAAGCGGGCCGTCGGTATTACTGTATTTTTCGGACTACAAGGCACTCTTAAAATCCTATCATTTTCTGAAAAATCGACCGTGCGCCTTATAATCCTTCTGAATGAATTCTAGTTGCACTTACTGACCTCAAACTGATTTTATGTGGTACACGGCACTCAAAAATCTGTCAAAAATGTTTTAGTACGACTTTGGTAAGCTACAAAGCCGCACCACTTGATGGATTGTCGGAGCATTACGGCTACCATCGTCAGGAGCCTGGCGGAGTGATACGTACTGTACTTCAGCATAATATTATCGCATTGTGTGTGTATAAGGACCCCAAAATGGCACCTATTAAGAGACGTGTATGAAGCAGATTTCAAATTAAAGGCTGTCAGTCACGCAGTAGAACATGGAAGTAGAGCAGCTGCGAAAGAATTCAACATTAATGAATCAATGGGACGGAAGTGGAGGAAGCAAGAAAAAGTTGAGTAAAGTTTGACTTATCTGACTGTTTTGTTTCCCTTAATGCGCCTTATGGATGAAAACAGACCCGTTCATCGACAGTGCATCTTATAATTCCATGCTCCTTATGGTCTTGACTTATGACTTATTTATTTGGCACACTGCAGTTTCATGTTGCAAAGCACCTCTTTTTATATTGTGTGGATATTATACATGGTTATGCTCGGGATATATCGGCCCATTTCCAATGGAAATGCCTTTTGGTTAAACTGTCATCAAGGAATTTGCATTCGCACTGTAAAGTTTTTATATCGCTTTAATGCAATTATAAAGAAACAGCTGCTTGTTTAAGTGAAAATAAATTGATGCGGGTTTTTTGCACTAATAAAGTTGTAAAGTATTTTGTCTCGCGTCAATTATATTGTCAGTTATATCGTTATCGCAAATTATCAAATATATATC